AATAAATTGCATCTGAACCTCTAAATGCAACGCAGTGGAAAACACAATAGTTCTTTATTTTATCAGCTGTCTGGTCATATAGACATCATCTGTAACAAAAACCAAAAATATTGAGAATGCTATTTATCCAGAGTTAGCAAAAGGAATTATTTGACAGCTGAAAATGAAAAATCACTAATAAGCATTACAGTGTATTGCAGAGTTTAAACAATGTGATTAAGGAAACTTTTGCAATAATAAGGAGTGTATGCAATTCTATTTTACCTTGTTTAAAAAATTCCTCTGGGATTTCTTGCTCTGTTATACAATACCTAAACTGGAATGTTATGTTAAACAAGCCTCACATTCTACCTGTATTCAGTATATATTTAACACTAAGAAATAAAGTTCTTTCAACTTATTGCCCTTCACTAAAGTATCCATATTTTCCCTCAAATTTTTTGCCCAAGGCAGTGAATAGAGCAGAAGGAAAGTCTAAAAGCCCTAACTAATGCTTTGGCCACCTGGATATTCAAGACATGCACTGTAAACACATTTAAACCATCTTATACAAACCTATTTTTAAGAGATGAAACCAAAAATTCTTCAGAAAGACTGAGTAGAAATTTCAGGAAGGAAATACAGGGAAGACATGGTGGGAAATAAAGCATTTACCATTGTCTCCTGCTGCACAAAACAAAACCAAAAGGAACAAACAAATCCTGCAGTTCAATTCTTCATGGAAAAACCCAAAAATGAAAGAACAGCAGTACAGACAATAATTATATTTTTTATACTGTTCTCTTAATGTTTAGAGAATCAAAAGCAATACAATCAGAAATCAATCAGGATATGCCCAAGAAGAATGTGCAGATAAGAAGAGCAAAATTTGTCACTTATGTTATCTGCTGTGGTCAGCAGTGATTGGACTCCTCCAAGTCACCAAAACATTATCAAGAGATAGAAATTAGATCAGATGTCTGTCACTGAAATGCAGGATTTGACAAGAGCCTCACATCATCTACAAAACACCACACTTGATATTGTGTGCCTAAGTTATGCTGAATTACAGTTCCTTCAAAGCTAAAAGTTTGAAAATTAAGCCGAATTTTCAAATTGAATTTGTGTTCCTTAATTAAGTTTACTTAGGCATTATTTGAAAGTATTCACTGATTAACAAAATATTCCAATAACTGCTGCTGTCAATGTCTTTTGAACCAGCAGCTTCACTACATCCAAAGCATCCAATTACTTAAAATCTTTAAAGTCAAAATCCTCAAATATAAAGTTTTCTCTCAATTTCTTCAGTTTGTGTATTGAAATCTGCACATCATTTGCAAGTACTCTGGTCATACAGCTGCAAATTACTGTTTAGCACCCGGTAAATCAAGATACAAAATACTTTCTAGACAAGTACAGTGCTCTGGTAAGTTACCATTGTAAAGCACAATAAAAATTTCAAAGAAAACAAAGTACACACATACAGAAATAATCTTTTCCAAACTCCAAACAATTAAAGGATTACCCAATACTATTTTAAATACTTAAAGTTCAAAATTGTATGTATGCACCTGAATCAGCATTTGCAGTCCATGAACTTTCATAGAGTTATAAAGCAATGATGCAAATTTACAAAAATGCATCCAAATCTAGTTCTTGATTTTGCTCAGATTTTAAATCCAGCCTTGGATTCATAGCTCTGTAGAACTGCTGTTTATGCTGTTTGTGTTTTTTATAAACCATAAAGCTTTATGTTTTATGGTTTAAAATCTGCTCAGATTTTAAACCCAGCCACAAGCAGGTTAAATTCACAGCTCTGTATAAGTGCTGTTTATGTCAAGTAGGTTGTCACAGGAGCATGAGGTGAAAGTTTATCCTACATTTCAAATTTATTTCAGCCAGCTGAGGCAAACCAAAGTCTCCAACATTCTCTCTTTTATAGAGTCTCTAGTTTAATCACATTTTAACTTCCAGTGCTGCTCCTCAAACCATTCCTGCATTCAACATCTTTCAAATACAATCAATAGAGAAAATGAGAGAGGAGAAACATGTGTCTTGACCACTTGGTTTAGAAAACACTGAACTCTGTCTTGACAGTTCGTGTTTGAGACAATTAAAAATGGCAGGAACTCGTAGCTGCTGTTCCTAGCATCAATAAGTGTGATTGGTTTGGTCATGCACACAGGCATGGGGAACTAAATGTTCTTCTCTCAAATCTTCAGAAAAAGGAAATAGAGAACTCATAGAAGAACCATTCAGCAATGAATTCAAAAGTTTAAATCTAAAAGGGACCTATCACCATAATTCCCACATGCTTCCCTCAGTCAGCTCTGAGTTCCCTGTGTTATCTAAATTTTTTACTCTAGAACTCCTGCCTGAACCTTCTCCTTGCTCTATTCTGTACAAAAAAAAAAAAAAGACTGGCCTGCCTCAGTTCCTTAATGAAGTCAGACACCCAAATCCTTAACAAAGCAGAATCTTAAGCCCATCATTTGTTTTGTTATTTTCCTTTTGCTGTTTAAAGCAATTGGGTAAACAGCCCCTCGTGGAGCCCAGTTCTGGTCAGTGGGCATTTTCTATATGGCACAATGAACACGAGATATTTAAGATTGCACTCCTCGTGTCAATGCAAAGAAAGGCAAAGGCTTTCCAGTGTCATCATTGCAAAAAGGACAGAATATATGTTGTGCCACAAAACATAGGATGTGAGAGCTGCAATGCTGAAATTGCAGCCGACTGTGAACCTGCCTTTTTTGGCTTTCTCAGGCTTCAGTCTCCCCTTCCCTGGAGGCCTCCCATGCTTCCATTTAACATCGATTTTTGTTCTCTTTATCAACAGTTACAAATACAGATAGCTAGCTAAGAAGGCACAACGTGATAAAGACCATAAAGGAACTGGAACTCCATTCAAACTTCAAGAGCCTTTTAGATATTACAATAGAGAATCTGAAGCATTAAGTGACCAAGGATAAATACCTTTATCATTACAAAAGAAGAGTTGTGTGGCAGTCACATTATGTAAAGATGCTGATGGAAAATGAGCACAAGGTAGAAAATTTTTAGAATCAGGCTAATATTATAATTCCTGTGCTGTCACTATAATGATGGAGAGCAGCACCAGAAGAATATTCATTCAAGTAATGCCTTTCCTAGGCTAATAGAAAAATATTATTCTAATGTTGAAAACGAACATCCTGCCCTGTCCAAATCAAAGAAACAATTTACAAAATAAAATGTCACGTTTGCAGCAGTTCCCAGAGGGACATTTCCTTATTCCTCAGAGAACCGAAGCTGGTAAAAATGATAATAATTTTTATTATTGCAGCAACAACAACAACAACAACAACATTTCATAGCGAATAAGCAGGGCTGCTTTGTGCTCCCACAGAAACGCAGGGATAGTGCTGATGTTTGATTCTGAACGTGTCTGTCAGGAAACAAACGCGAGCCTTCAGCAGCCTGATTAGTTTCGCAGTCCCTGCGAGGAGCTATCAGCATCCCAGCGTGAGCTCCTCCTGCATCGCTGCTCCGAGCCTGCGGGCAAAGGGATCTCATAATGACTCACAGCGCCGTGACTGGGCCACACTTCTGCTCTGCTGAGCTGCTCGCTGAGAGGGGCTGCACACTCCCCCGTTATCCTTTCACACTGCTTTTTGGTTTATTATTATTATTGTTATTTATTTTTATTTATTCCTTTGGGTTCCTGTTCCTTCCTCCAAATGCTTGGTGCATTGCAGGGAGGGTGCAAAGTGCCACCGCCGGGACAGAAGCCAGATGCTCGTGGTTAATNTTACCACACTGTGTTACATTTTAAACCCTAAAAACTCCTCTTTGGGCCCCTTCTGCCAAGCTGGCAGGGTCTGCTCTGAGCCTTGGGCCTGTCTGCAAGCAGAGGGGATTGTTTGATCCAAAGGGGATCACCTTCAGCTGGCCATGCCATTGTTTTCCAGTTGTTCAGTAACTGAGGGATCTCAAAGCTTGCTTTCATTTCAATCTCACTTAGAGTTTCCATACTCTCAAAATCTTTTGCCAGGCAATCATATTTATAAAGATTTCCTGCTTCACCTTCCCCAACAGGACAGCAACTATTCATGAGATACAGAGCAAGAGATGCAGAGGGGAGGGAGTTTTGGGTCTAACAGCCAAAGGCAGGAGTATTACACCTTCAGAGCAGCAGTGATACCACCTTTGATTGCTCTGCCCCTCTTCCCGGGCTTGGCCTTTCCCTCCATCCCTCTCCTGTGCATAACTGCCAATGGGAAATTCAGCCAGTCATCAGCAATGCCCCAGTGCCCACCAATGCAAAGCTTTGAAAGGTACCTTGCAAGGAATTGCTTTATTCTTCAACAGAAAGGAATTTGATTCCTTCTCTCAGCAGATGAGTTACTGTTTTGCCTGTGCCCTCCCCTGTCTGCACCATTCTTCTCCTTAAAATCACAGCTCCTCAATTGTTTGCAAAAAAATATTGAAGAACATCCACAGCACTACAGGTTCAGAGGAGGAAAAAGGGGGAAAAGGCAGAAAAGTGAAGCTTTGATTGATGGTTTCCTCTGCAAGTTCAGTGCTTTTATTGGAGATACTGTGATACTGCCTTCCCTTTTCTCCAAGAGCACCTCTCCCTGCAGCAGGTCAGCACAGCAAGGAGAGACAAGTTCCTGCCCAAGGAAGAAAATAAAGCCTAATTCCTATCCTTCCTCCTCCCTTGGCTTTCAGAAGCCAAAAATTCACTAAAGCAGCAATGGGTTACTGACACTCTCCTTGCATAACAGCATCTTAGTTCAGTTAAACTAAAGAATTACTATACTTCTTTTAACTTTCAACAAATTTAACTTTCAGAGCTTAGTTCTGAGACAGTTTTTCATTAAAATGAAAGCTAAGGCTGACTAAATGGGAATGTAGTATTTAACTTTTTTAAGTATACCATAAAGATAACATTGCTTTTAAAAGTTTGCTTAACCACATAGGCCTTTATAGACTTCTGTCCATAAAGACAAGCAGAAATAATAGTGTTACAGTTTGACTTTTTTTTTTTTTTTTCATTTTATTAGCACAAAATCCTGTAGTGGGTGAAAAGAAAGAGAACATATGCATGTACTTAGAACATGGAAAACTCACTGCACAAATGGGGATTCTTTCTTCCTGTTATTTTGCCAATTGCTTCTCCTCTTACCTTCAGAATCTGAACTGTGATAGTGCTTGCAAACTACAAAACCCAATCTTAAGAGCCCACTGCACTCCCTCAAAAAGAGCTCTACAGTTCCATTAGCAAAAAGGGGCTCAGCCTACATTTAAGAGAACAGACCTAGAGCACTTGAATTCCAGTTTCCTGCTGTAAAAAAAAAACATTTACACAGAATGTGCATACACCCCAATGTTAATGCATGTATATATTCATTTTTACATATATCAATGGAAGTTCATTCTATAAGCACAGAAGCAGTCCCAAGGTTATTTCTGACCACATAAATACACCAGCTGCAGAAATCACTCCAATTGGTTCTTCTTGCAGAAACTTTTATAGTGGGACTTGTATAGTTGGTCCAATGGCTTTGCAACACCTATACACACACAGGGACAGGTAAAAGGAGGCAAGGTCTTTATGGGCCAGTGGCTGAGCCTCCTGCACAGCAAGGCTGGTGTACAGAATGACATCTGCACTACTAATACCAATAAATTAAAGAATTCACATATACTGCCCGTAGTATGAAAGTCAGCAGAATTCACAAAATCAGAAAAACCACTATTTTAGTCAGATTGCACAGAGACAAACGAGAGGGTGTTTGTCATAGTACAGAATCAATGTACTTCCAAAGTCCAGTACTATTAGTAAATTATGGCACAGTGAACTTAATTGCCATGCACAGATAACACCCTCAGACATTTTGCTAGGAATTGTCTTGATTATCAGTCAGAGAGTGGAGAAAGATCCACCATCAAAAGTCAGTAACTTGGTAATTTCTTTGCTTGGGAATAGCTGAAAGTGGCTGCTTTGTTCCAACAGATGGCAGACATTTCAGTTTAGTTAGCCATGCAGTTGTTTCATGAATAGGATTAATCACACAGATTTATGACATCCATGTTTTTGCAAAAGAGAGCAGGTCGTTTATTTCTGATTTTAATCCTTTCCTTCCATCAAAGGGGACATACCAAGAAGTGTGGTCTGAAAGCAAAGTATCACTTTCTCTCAAAATGAAGCTCCAGGTCAGTTCTCTAAACAAACACATGATCACTAGAACAGAGCTCTCTATCTTGCACCCACTTAACAAGCACAGAATTCATGAGAACTATGAGCACACCAGCAAGAACAAGAACTACTTAATGGAATGATTTGAGACCAGCCTCAGCAAGCAAAAAGCTTGAGTTTCACAAGCCTTAATAACACCAATTTTGTTTTTGCATGACAGGAGGTAAACTTAAGCAAAAGAGGATATTCTACAGATTAATTTAAAAAAAAATTTTAAAAGTTAAGCAAGTGACTGTTCAGTGTTTCACACAAAACCCAACTCAATTGCTTGTAAGTTTTGACCAGGCAATCAGTCAGACACAGACTGTTAAAAGAGGACTCCAAACTGAAAACCTACTGCATTTGCAATACAGCTGATTTCAAACTGGCATTTCTAACTCCACTGGCCTCAAAGTATTTTCACAGTAGTTTCAGTTGCCCAACATGAGTTACAATCTGCTGTTCCACAGTTAGGACCACTCTTCTCTGAAACATACTTCAGGCTTTCAGACTACTCTTCTCTTGTTCCACAAAACTTTGGAGTGAAGAGCTGACAAGTCTACCCAAGGTCTTTAGCCTTCCTCTAGACTGCATTCCTAGGTGTGCCATTGTGAGTCACTGCTTTCATATTTGAGGTGCTTGATTGATGGTTGCAGATCCTGTGGGAGGCAACACCTACTTCAAAAACTTCATGGATGGCTTTGCGGAAGCAATGGAAATTGTAGTCTATCAAACCTGGCAAGGAGAGGAAAAACTGCGCTCAGATTGGCATATTTATGTAAACACAGCTTCAAAATCAATATCAAATAGGTGTTTTGCTAATTATTTCGTATAAATTTGGACTTAGAAGATTTAACAAAGTTTTACTGATGTTAGTATTTATTTGGATTGTCTCAGGTGATAATTTGGAATGCAAGGTGTATATTCATGATTAAACAGTAGGTAAGGGGCCCATGGCTCCATACCACTGATCCCACTAGAACAGATGGTAGAGACAGAACTCATGTTAGCTACACAAGTCATTTTGGCAGCAGGACAGTGATTAAAGTGATGATTCACAATTTAAAAAAACTACCTCATTAGATCTATCTCCAAAAAATAAAAATTTCCTCCCATAAGAAACTACACAAATTTAGTCACACAAAAATCAAGGTGACTTGTAAAGTCATATTCATATTTTATAGCTGATAAAAAATATTAGGTAAAGGCTGTTCAATGGCAGGGAAGTTCTTACCTTTGCGCTCAAAACTCTCTTCTCTAAGAATGCAAACTAATGCCAAAAACTTTGTTACTTCCTTTAAGTACAGGACTGTTGTGTTATTGAGCTTGATAATTGCCATTGACTCTTTATCATAAGCACTTCCAGAGCCATCTTCTTTTAACCTAAAAAAGAACAAGTTAACCCAAGGCATCATCTAACATGTAACTTCCAAGACAAACAGCTGTTAAATGCAGTTAGAAGAATATTACTCATACTGAGCTAAGCAAATGGAGAACCTGCAATGCAGGTCTCAATACTCCCAGTGAGTAAGACCATTATCAGACTTCAGTTTCTCAGGCCTTCATTACACACTGACTATCACAAATGAAAAGTTAAGAGCAAGCTACCAGCATGAATTCTTTTGATGTTTGGAGTGACAGCTCAGTGAAATTACTTTGGGTAAATGAATATAAAGGCTTCCTTTGTGAGGCTGGGGCAGAGGATGCAAAATGGAGCAGGACACTTTTGGTCTTAAACTACACCAGCTTGCATTTACATAAAAGATGAGCATGCTGTTTTCTAGCTTCAAGTTATTAGTGTTAGTTAAATTAATATAGAAGCAAATGATGTATTGCAAGTTACTTCTAAGCACTCCTGAAAAAAACCCCAAAACAAACAGTTACACAACCCTGGATCAACCCATCAGGAGACAGACCATGAAATGCTGTGGTATTTCCTTGGTAGCACTGCATTTGCCAGGCTACAGCTCTAACATAAGTTATCACTTCTTCAGAACCACTTCTCAAATCCAGTGTGAAATATAATTCTGGTGTAAATTGTGAAGTATCAGCACTGTGTGCATCTCTCATAGAAAGTCAACAGCAGATGAGTTATCTGGCAAATGTTATTCTGTTCAGACTAGAGCAAATCTCAAAGCAATGTCACTGCAAGTTACACTTATGGCATGCCATTGACCCCAGTTATTTACAGGTATTTATGTACCTGCTCCACCATGCCAAACCAGACACAGCAGTATTCAGATTTTCAAATACTTATGTAAAGTATTTGAAATATACTTGTGTATATATATATACATATATAGAAGAATATATACTTGTGTATTTTCGAATATTTTGTGTAAATTGTGTTTAGAAACACAATTTCTACAAATGTTACATAGCTGTCTAGGGCCATCAGTGGAGGGAAACAAACCAAGTATAAATGCTGCCAAATAATTTGGATTTATTTTAGTTATTCACAGTACCAATGTGCTCTAAAGACCAATTGATAGCACTTTGCTGCATGACAAAGCCAGCACCAACTGCACAGTTTGCAATCTATTCCTACAGGTGTTTCTACACCTTCTGAGGACTTTTTTTTCCTAAGAGTATTCAGCACTTACCCATATATACAGGAAACATCTATGACTACATCAATCATGTCACAGCACAACTCATATGACTGCATGTCCACAGGAGAACTGTCTGTTGCAATGTAGATTTTGCTGACTACATCGAAGAGAAAAGCTTTTTCAATGCCTGAATTCTTCAGAAAGAGAAATAAAGAATTTGGATGAATTTTTAAAACAATTGCATTTTTACAATCTCAACTAGAATTAATATATTCTTAGTAGCAGAATATGGTTTAAATATAAGCAATTTTGAGGCTTTGGACAGATACAAGATTTAGAGCATTCACTTTACAAATAAAATACTCTTGTTGCCATAGTACATATCAACATCACACAGCTGATAAAAATAAAATTGGGGACTCTGTTACAATTCTTTTCAGTTTATTATTTAACTGATCATTATTAAGGTTACATTTTACTGTGCTTCCAGAATCCATATTCAGCAATTTACCTTTTCTGTGTTTCTATTAACTCCAGAAGAGCCAGAATTCACATCCTCCTAAGGGACTGAGCTCAGAGATATTTCATAGCAGTGTGCTGACTCTTAAATTTTATGCTTGCAGTATCTTGGCAGTTCAGTTTCTGCATGAAGCATTTGCCATGCAGTTTAACATGCAGAGCAACTAAGCTTCTGAAGTTAAAAACCCATTATGACTATGGAAAAGCACAATGCCATTTTTACCTGAGCACTTTGGTGAAGTGCACATGCTCATACAAAGTTCAGAAGCCTTTTGTGGTTCAATTTATCATACATACACTACTGTGCAAAGCTTCTTGTCTATTTATGCACCAGAAGCATTCCTTATCTTTTCCTAGCTAGTCTGAATACCTAGGACAGTGTCCTGAGGATATCCAGAAAATTTTTGGCATCAAGATTACATCCTCATGGCACTGGGCAAGGTCAGCATACCCTTTATGCACTGGGCAGGTTATTACAAACAGTGCTCTACCAAACAAGCACTAAATGGTAGGATGGGCTGACATGTCTGAGTGTCCAGCTCCTCCTGGATATAAATGGGTTTTCTTTGTTGTCCAAATGCCTGCAACAGCCTCACAGACAACTTAAATGAGATGGCCTTGTCTCTAGGGTGGTATTTTATTTGATTGAAAGTACAGAGCAGCAAATTTCCAATTCCGTAAGAGAAAAAGGGGAAAAGTCTCACAGGTCATATGAAACAGACAGCTGAGTCTGAGGCCAAGTTCATATTATCAAAAAATCTCTGGCCAGTACATTAAACTACCAATTGCCTTAGCAAAGTAATCAGTACATCCTGCTGGCAGGAAACCTCCATCAGCTGCTACAACCAGGAAAAATACACTTGGTCAATATTTAGAGAAAGCCCACAAAGCACACACCAGTACAATTCAGCTGTGGTAAAGAGCTTTTAATATAGAAAACCAGGTTGCCAGAGGACACCTGCATGAGTGCCACCCAAATCTCTCAAGGGCAGATCTAGCCAGCAATCTTTAGCAGAAAGACTTTGCTTTACCATTCTGGGTATTTCATTCAAAGTTCTGTGAGATGAACACTTACTGATATGAAGATATTAAGTAGATTTTCCAGGGTTGGCAGCTGTGGAATGAGCTTCTGTACCACTTTACTGAAGGCTTCAAATATTGAATGGTCATAGATACTGGTCAAATAAAAGCTGACATGAGGAGGCAGGGCAAAGAAAGAAAAAAGAAAAAGAAGATTCAAGAGTGTTTCAGAATTGTAATAGAAATGTTAAAGTTACATTTTCTAACATTCAGGCCTGCTACTTTTGCCTGGGAAGACTTTATCACAAATATGTCTGGACATTGCACAAAGAATCAAAGTTCTGAGCAGCTGGAGTACACATGGAACAGATTTTTCCCATCCTTGAGAGATGGGAGAACAAAAATAAAAATCTGAGCATTGTTAGAATACACTTTGCCCGCACAATGCTTATCACAAAGGTGTAAAAATGCTTAATCAGATTTCTTCCAGTCCCATTCCTGGCCTTCCACTTTTTTCACATTAACATTTAGATACTGGCTCCACAAGAATCAAAAGAACAACAAAACCAGAGAAAAGATAGCTTGTTTTAAAGGTGTCTGTAGAAAATACCTTAAAAGTGAGCCAAATCTCAACTAACAGACTGAGCTTTTAAAGTCAACCATACCAATCACAGGGAAAAAAGTCAGTGCAAGTCAGGACTAGAAGGCAGAGAGGTTCCCCTCTCTGTCCCTGCCCCTCCAGCCCACATGCACAAATCTGTTACACTGAAAGAGAAATTTTCAATTATCACTGAGCAGGAATAAATCCATTGATTGGAATATGATACAGCAGCCTGCCTCTTTTTCAGTCAGCCTACCAGCTGAGGCTTGTGCATAAATTCAGCAATCTTATTTATACAAGTTAGTTCAATAAGAAACTACCCAGATCTTGCTGCAGTTGTTCCAGTATTACATCTCAAAGCCTTTAATCTGTATGCATATCAGCAACAGCATGAATCACATATGCCAGAGTCTTCAACTCACCTAAGGTGAAGTTTTTCAAGCCCAGCATCTGTGAGATCATCATTAGCCCTCTGATGAATATCCCTCTGAGTTTCTATTTTATGGTCATCTGATAAACCATCAACTTTATGAATAAAAACTTCAAAGTTCATTTCTGGGTTGACCTTGTAGGCTTTTGAAACTGTAATGTGGAGTCTTGTTAAAGCTTCCATGTAGTCATCCTGTAAATCAGTTTTGGCAGGAATGAATGACAAAGTTGCTGCCTGATAACTATTCCATTCTGCACAAAGACAAAATATTGCAGTGCAAGAACTTCACCTTCTGTAACTAAATAGAAGTATGGGACAAGAGAATACCTTGGTGTGTCATAAATCCAAGCAGCTTAGATTCTTTAATTAATTAATTTTCATTAGCTATACAAGGCTCAGCTACACAAAACCAGACTTCAGAGCAAAATGTGGGTTACACTTCAACTCCAGCACAAGGCAGAGATCCCCAAGATGGTCCCAAAAACCAGGAAACCTCCCAGGGTGCAAATCCTAGGTTGATTAGAAGCTACCAGATACCAGTATAACAATACTAGAATCTGAAGTCAGAAGTAAGCTGTTATTAATTGAACTGTGTGTTATTAATTGAACTCCAGAGCAGAAAAAAGGAATAATTCAGACTATCTAACCAAGCAGGTTCTCTCTATTATTGCAGGACAGGTAAGTTCAGAGTAGGAGCCCTTTTCCACTCTCTCCACCAGCAGCATATGTCCAGTCACTTCACCAAAACAAAACCACACACCAGAAGTCAGATTGCCAATGCATCTCCTCATACACAGCAAAAGCCTTATGAACTTATCTAAAAATATAAATTACTGGCCTCTTGATCATTCCTTTCACACACAAAGTAAAAATAAAACTTCCTTGTGATTTGTATTTACCTGGGCATCAATAACATATATTAGAGCACCTGTTCCTCTGAAGATCATCTCATAATCAAATGTTGGATCAAAAAAGTCCATCTGTCCAGGAAAATCCCATATTTGGAAGTTCACAAATGAACTGTTGGAAATATCATCCTTGTAGATTTTGTTGGTACTTTCCAAGAACAGAGTCTCATTGGGAGACATTTTGTGAAACACCACCTGTGAGAAGAACACAAATAACAATCTAGATTTTATCTTATTAAAAGAAATTAGTGAAAGATTTGTGACTTGAATTTTACAAATGGGTTTACCCATTCTAAAATTTATAGCTTTCTTTAGGTAAATAGACAGCTTTCTATATCAGCTAAGGAAATTGTCTACCCCTTACAAAAACCAGGCAACTGCATACAGTGAAACATTTTCACAAATAACCCTCCTGGCTGGAGACAAAGACATCCAAGTTACTCTTTCTTTCCCTGCAAAGCTAGCACAGTGTTTTCAAATTCTGTTCTATTCAGACCTGGCATAAAGCCAGTTAAATAAATAACTGCAAGCTTTTAATACTTTCCCTTTCAGTCTTAGAAATTCCTAAAGGAAACTTTGTTTTTAGTCTGGTGTCAAGTGTTAAAACACAACATAATCAGATGGTTCCTAGGCTACAACAGAAGAGTACAAAAACAACACCTCAGTTTTAGGTAGTTTGCCATCTATTAACTCATTCTGAGTAGGGAATCACAGAATGGGTGAAGTTGGAAGGAACACAGTGGGGTTATCTGATCCAAACTCCCTGCTCAGGCAGGGTCATCCCAGAGCACAAGACACAGGATTGCATGCAGACAGCTCTTGGGTGGCTCCACACCCTCTCTGGGGAGCCTGTTCCAGGGCTCAGGCATCCACACCGTAAATAATTCCTCTGATGGAGGTGGGACTTCCTGTGAAAGCTCACTAAAGAAAGGATGAAGGATTTCACACCAGTTGGCAAAAACAGTTCAGCTGCAGGATGATAAACAGACTCATTGCCAGAACTCAAAAAGCCCCACTGGGATTTTAAGCCCTTCCTTGTAGAGAACCAGCACAAGCAGCCTGTAGCAAAACCAACCAGTGCCAACAGAGAACTCTGTGCTAATGCAACTCAACCAGACAAGAAAGTTACTCCAAACAATCAGTCATACACCAGGACTGCAAAAATTAAAGAAGTTTCATATACAGCTCTTGGTAAATCTAAAAACTTCACAATAGGGACTGCAAACTTCATATACAGCACTTTGTAAACCTAAAAACTTCATAATAGTGACTGCAAACTTGGTAATTTTGGTTTCTTCAAATGTTTCTGACAGCTACAGAAGTCATCCTTTAGAGACCTGATGCAACAGACTGTCAAAAAAACTGCAAGACAAACAGCTCCACACCTAGTACAGTTCACTGAGGTTCAAAGTATTACTTCAGCCTAGATTTTTAAAGCCAAGGGAAAGAATTTATTTCCTTGGGGACAAACATGTTAGGAGGCCAGGGTCTAAAGGAGGTTTTAAACAGCAGGACATTTGTAGGGAGAAGAACACTTCTAGAAAAACAGCAGCTGCACTGCATTCTTCAAGGTTTGCAGCAGTTTTACAATATGCTGAAATCAACATTTCTTTTGGGACTCAGCATCTCCCACAAGAGCAGGACAGAATTAGTAAGTTCAGTTTAAAGCTGATAAGTCTCTGGGAAGCAACACTGTCACCTCCTTTTTTTCCCAAAATAGCACATTTCATCAGATTGATGTTCTCCACCTGAACTCTTTCCAGTTTCCTATTACATCAGTACAGTAAGTCCAGTTATGCAAGTCTGCACAGAAATTTGCTTATGTACTGAAGCAATCACTGCATTCCCAAAATCTACCTACAATTTGCTACTGAACATGAATAGGTTACACCAGTATGGAAAACCCAGTTGACCAAAGGGGAAAAAAGAGTCCCTCCCAGGATTGTGGTTCTTTCTTTTGTGAGAGATCTCCTGTCAATACTGCTCTCAGCAGAAGCATGAAATTATTTAATAATCATGTTTTTCACAGAAATTTCTAGATAATCACAAAGCCAATGCTTCCCCCAATACAGAATTTATCTAGCATATATCCCTATTTTCTGGCAAGGGGATCATCAGCTGGTGCCCAGACAGAAGGGTTGGGTCTGGGTCTGGCCCATTTTTGAACTAGAGAGATTTAAGAGCAGGGACATTGTTAATAAGAAATTTCCTGATATTACATTTTGCTCAGGCAGCATCACAATGAGCTCCTAGGTACCAGAATCACAACTTCTGATTCCTAAGCAAGATTGGTAACTGGCAAAAGATAAATTCTATGTCCTCTTACTGCATATTCAATATTACACTTCTCCTTTTCTATACAACTACTGGAATAGGCCCTCAAAGAATTGAAGACTACCATAAAAAAGTCCAAAAGCTACTTCTATAAAGAGACTTGTAATGTCCTGAAATCTATCTGTAATCTGGAGTTCCTGTCTTCCTGTAGCTTTTAGGGCTCAGTTTTTTCAAAAGTGGATAATACAATCAGATCTCTAATAAGAGTCTACAACGAATACCATTCACATGACTAAAATAGTTAGAAAAAAGGCTTTCAGTGAAAGCAGAATATTTGCACGTACAGTGGGAGCATTTGACCTAAATAATGGGGAGTAACTGATAAGGCTAAAAAGCAACAACAGTCCAGGCTGCCACTGGATTTCAGCACAGCACAATGGAAAAGATTTCTCACTAACAGAGGCTGAAGTCAGCTCAGAACTCATTGGTTTACTGCAGTCTTGGATCACCAAGCAGCCTGCACAACATTGCTAAAAGGAGCAGATGCATACCTTCTATACTGCAATGTCCAAAAATGCTTCTCTGCACAAAAACTTTATAGAAATCTCTGTAGGTTTTCACATTTGCATCTGAAACAAATTTGAGGCCCTTAAGTCTAGAGCTGAGACTTCTGCATTTCACCAGTAACATCCTCCCATAAAAACATCACCTATGCAAAGTTCACAGGAGGGACTGCAAACAAAATCTGCACTGAGGAACAAGGATTGTTCTGACTGCTGCAATTCCAGTGAGCTACCTGGCAAATCAAAAGTCAGTTTTGTCTTATTTTTATTAAGAAACACTAGTGACTTCACAAAGCTACCAACAAACCTAAGGCACCGGAACTGCTGCATTTCCTCCTTGCCAAGGGACTCTCGTTTACTCGCTCTAAAGGAAACCAGAGGCTCTTTCTGCTCACACAAAAGCAGAAGTTCTCTCAAAGCATCAAAGGGCAAAACAACGGCTCAAGCCTTCCAAATGGAAGCACTAGCTAAACACCACACACCTGCACCACGTAAAAAACCACCTCATGATACATTTCACACCAGCGTCTTCACTTTTTACGCCTTAAAAGTGAAGAAATACAAAGGCTACAACCTATGCTACACAACCTTCCTCTCTAGGGCAGATGATCAGAGTCCATTCTGGAAAGCAAACGTCTGTAAGGAGGAGGCTCCCGTCGCTCCAACTTCGCCACACGGGCCCACAACAAAAAGTAGAAATTGCCCGAAGAGCGGCAGGGCGGGGAGAACCAGCTCGGCGCCGGAGAGGCAGCGCG